GACATCGACCTTCCGTCGGGTCTGTCGTGCGGCCAGTTGCGAAAGGTTTTCACCCTGTCTTCCTCGTCTTCAAATTTTGGAAAGGTAGCGGTTCTCTGCATAATTTCTTTTTGCATTACCTACTGATAATAGACAGATTTCGAATGTAGACAAATATGCACAATAACAACTTTATATTGTTTTTTTGTAATAAAGACTTTATTGAAGACAAAACAGAATATAAGATTTCGTGTTTTTCTTTAGTATTTAATATATCGGAACATTTTTTTTTAAATTCTATTCCGAAGACGGGTTGTACTTCAACATTTTCGAGAACAGCCAGTCCAGTTGCTGTTCCAGTTCTTCGTCTCCGTAAACGACCGTGTCTTGGTCGGAAATGTCCTGTTCGTCCGACGATTCGACTGGAAGCTGAGAATCCTCCGGAAAGTAGTCGGCGAGGATTCCTTCTCCGCCTGTTCGTTCGTCGTCGACGGGAAGTTGAGAGTCCTCAAGAAAGGATTCCGTTAGGTTTCCTTTGCAGTCTGCGGTCTCAGCTTCTCTTCGTTCGTCGCCGACGCCAACAGTTTGGGAGGTGCTTGCGTCGTCGTCTTTTTCGTCGTCGAACTTGATCCTTTTGGTATAAGGAGCATCCGACTGAAGAAAAACAATCAAAAAATAAAAATAAAAATAAAGGTAAAATTACATCACGTCACACGTTACGTCCTCTTTGAAAAATGACGTCCTGGTCCTTGTCGCTCGAATCGTCGTCGTCGTCGTTGGCTTCGTCCTTCTCGCCTCGTTTGTTGCCGGATCGCAACAACCTGACTCCTTTCCGCGAAAGCAGGAAACTCTGGAGAACGACCACGAAGCAGAACCTGATGGCCTGCGAGGCGGTGAGAACGATCGCCCAGTGTCGTCCGACCTTGTTGATCGGACAGTCGGCGGCGTCGATGCTGTTGGCGCTGAGGTCCAGAAGGTTTTCGTAGCAGTCGCCCAAGGACGTATCGCACTCCATCAAGTCCCGACCGTCGAAGGCGCACGGCCCGAGTTTGTAGACGAGCACGTTTCTGACGAGGTCGACGGTGGCGATCGCTACGCTGGCCAGAGACGCCGCCTCCCACACGTCGGAGAGCGATGCGTACCTAGAGATCGCGGCGGCGAACACGAACGCGTGCACCACGTATTCCGAAGACAGAGGGTAGACGATCGCTCCTGCGAACACGTCCACAAGCAGGGTCGCCACGACGATCGGTATGCCCGCGTTTCTGTACCACCCCCAACCGCTACCGCTACGAAAGCCATCGGACGAATTGGTTATGTGCAGCATCGCCGGTGCTATTCCGGTCGACATGTACACGAGCGCAAACTGCACGAAGTAGTAGATGGATCCGGCCGTCCCTCCCAGTTCAACGACCGGACATCGACGATGGTCGGCATCCCATTTGAGAGCGTCCGCCACGGCTCGTTGACAGGTCCGATCCGTTCCTTCGGCACCGCATTCCCGCAACGAATCCAGATACGATGCCCCGCACGGTCCGATCAGGAATTTCAGGTTGGTGAAAAACGAAATGTTGGCGGACGCGCAGAGACTCAGCCGGCACGCCGACACCAGACTGGATGGCGCTCCGACGTTGACGAACGTCGCGTACAGGAATGCGGGCAGGAATATTGCGTACCAATCGACTATCTGATGAACGTTCGCCTGAAGAAGAACGTCCACCACGAGCGAAGTCGCGATGCAAGACGAGATCAGCGAACATAACGTCGATTCTTTCATCATAGGTGGCCAGCCGCGTCGGTGACCGATGACGTTCATACTGAAGATAGGAATCCTACCTTTTTCCCCCTAAGGAAGGGGAGCCTGGAAGTGAAAATCGACCTCGCCGTCTGCCAGATCGTTTCTGACGACGGGACATCGAGCGAACCTGTACACGGCGCTCATGCACTTCCGGAAATCGAGCGCGTTCTTCCACCCTAGATCGGAGTACAACTTGCGATAGGCCGCCGAAGTCAGGACGTCGCCTGCCCTGAGTACCGTCTCCTCCCCTTTCTTATCTCTGACGACCGGTTCGCCGAAATAAAACGCACCAGATTCGCCGGGTTGCAAAGGAAGCAGCCTCTCTCTCGCTTCTGTCGTGAAGTCAACCGATCTC